CCTGGCTGATGTGAACACTCTCTAAGTTGCAGTCAGAACAATCTCAGTAATAGGACTGTTAAGTCACTGATAGGGCCATCAAGGTTAAATGAGTCACTAGTGTGTAGAGCCAGTGACTCCCACTTCTGTAATCATAAGCTCTTTGTCTTTTTTCACCTCCCTTACCATCTGGACATGTTGGCAGAATAAACATAGGCTGAAAGTAATGGGGCACTCTGTCATATCATATTTATACCCTGAGGAGCCTGAAGTCATAGACGACCAAGTACCTAAAAGTGCTGATCAAGTTGAAAAAGTAAATTATAAAGATTGGTTTAAAAAAAAGTTTTTTTTTGGTTTTTTTTAATTGTTTCAGGGTTACATTATGTCGATGCTGCCAGATGTACCAATACGTTTCTGTTCATCTGGGATCTTTGCGACTGTGAAGTCTTTTGAGAATCTCCGTTCTGTGGCTTTTTCCTAAGCACTGAGGCACGCTGTGAAAACAAAGCTCAAGGCTGAGCAGCCCTGCAGTTAAAGCCCGGCAGTGCCCAGACCTTGGGTAAAAATACCCAAAGCTGGGTCTATGTTTAGCATCAGCTCCCCCTTTGAAGAGAGACCCAATTTTATCAAGACGTGAGTCTGCTGTGTAATTCCTGCACAGCTCCCGGCCGCACTGCGTATATTTCATATTCGGGTGAGCTGTTGCAATTTCAGTGCCAGACCATCTTTCCCTGGAAGAGGCTCATTTACAATATTGATGGCCGATCTTGTGTGGAGGGACTGAGGATGATTGAACAATCACGTCAGCTTACTATTTACTGGTAAAAGTCAAGTATCGCCCAGAGGCGCGATTAGAAAACCCAATTACTTTCAGACTATACTTACGCTGTGTTGCCACCTGCCTTGGGCTTACAGTTGTTTTTCTTTTATTACTTCCTTTCTGTATTAATCTCATTGTGACACAACTTCTGTCTTTCATGCCAGCATTCCCTCTTTTGCACCAAGCTTTTTATTGCCTACATTAACAAGTTTCATTTTGTAGTTGGCTAAGGAAAATAGAACAATTTTTAACGGCGACTTGTGTTCTTTTTGGATTTGACTAGCACTGTACACTGCTTTCTATTTGTTTGCCATCTGGCTTTTATGAAACCAGTTGAGAAATAGCGCCATGTTTCTGTTAGTTTCACAACAGTGCAGTTTTTTCTCTTTTAGTTGGCACTGCAAAACACAAAGCAAAGGCTGTGTCACGAAACACCCAACAGAGATTCCAAACAAGCAGCTTTGTGACTGGCTTCTGTAGGTACATTATTAGTGTTTCTTTACACAGTCTGTCTTGCTATTTCCACTTGGCATTTATATTGTACTATTTTCTAAAGACAAGTTAAAAATAAGTTTAAATTGTGTCTTAAGAAAATGTTTTGTTAACTCTCTGTACACATGATAATAATCACAACTACATCACATAATAATCACAATGTTATTGAGTGTGTAATTAATTGAACAAACATGCTCTTTGAGTGGTGACTGTCCTTAGAGATCAGTGAAATTTGGATCCTGGATAAATGATTTTAACTTTTAGATTTAAGAATTTTTGGATTCCTCAAATCAGTTGCTACCATCTATTGGCATTTTTTCCTTAATGCTTAAATAATCAATACAATGCTGAACATATGAAGCAAACAAGTTTTCAACTCACAAAAAGAACAAAAAGACTAGCTGTGATTAGGCTAATTAAAAAATGTTATTGAGTGTGTAATTAATTAATCACATTTTTATTTAAATCCAGATATCAACAAAATAAGTAACATTTCCAATTCATTTATGCCAAATTATTGAACAACTAGATATATGAACTCAACAGTAATATATAGTTTTTGGTTTCTAATTTGCCATTAGATTACTGATATATCACATTGGTGCAGAGTGATATTATACCAGTTCAGTTTCCAATATTTCAGGAACTCCTAATTATTTGTGGAACTTCTTTAGACATGTGGACTTACGTTGCGCTGGGGATGTCTGCTCTGCTGCAACATGTTTAGCGTTGAATAGTAGCTTAGACCTGAGTAGCTTTGTTAATAAGCTAACTTCTGTGATGAACCATCTTATCTTATTGCAGGCAGCATGAGCCACACTTTTTATTCTGTTGGTTTCATCTACTGCTTGCATCACATAATAAAACTTGGACAACATTTTTTTTTTTTTTTTTGATGTTATAAAATCTCTAATTATTCCAGTCAGCAGGCCAGAGCGGTGCTGCTGCTGGCGGACCTCCTAACTTTGGGCCTGGCAGCCTCACTGTTCGTCTTTACAGACTTTTTCCCCTCTTGCACTTAAAATGTCCTCTGATGAAACAAGTGAACCAAAGAGTTCAGGTTCTTTTTTTTGTTTTTCAGGTCATCCCTCGCAATCTTTCTCTAGAATTTCCCCAGCATTAAAGAAATAAAATATAATTTTCTATCGATTTGACTTGGAGAACCAAGTTACAGAAGTTGAATGTTGTGTTCAACTTGAGATAGGCCTAAATGATATTGCGATGGAAAATCCAGTACATACAAATAAAGTATTTTACATTTACAGATTTTGTTTTAAATTTTTCACATCTAATTTTTAGTATCATTTGAACTAAATACAATAGCAGACCAGAGGTTGAGGGGGGATTAATCCTCTTTGTTAAATCATGAGCAAAGGTTAGTTCAAGTTCACTGGCCACACCCGGTCCTGATTACAGCTTGACCTGTAGAATCAGAACAGAAACTTAAGAACAGACCACAATGTCAGGGTCAATGTCATTTTTACTGCTTTAAGGTTCCAGTCAACCACAGTGAGAGAAATTACCAAAAACAAAAAAAATGGAGTAAACATGCAACCTTCACAAATCTACTCCAAAATGAGTCCATAGTGACGTGAGCAGGTAAATTTGCTGGTAGTGTAAAGGTGTGAGTCTGCTTTGCTGCTTCAGAGCATCTCAGAACCTTGATGACCTTGAGAAGTTAAATTCTTCTTTCCACCAGAAAGAGAAGGATATCCAAACATCGCCACATATGGGTTCTGCAGCCAAAAGATGATCCAAATCAAACAGCAAGTCCATTACAGAATTTCACTGAATGTGCCCTAGTCAAAGTTCTTCAGATTAAGACCCCATCTTCAGAGAGATAACTTAGTTCTAAAAAATTTTCTTCGTCACTGATTCAGCAAATTGGGAGACCGGAAACAATTTTTTGAAAGATTTTTTAAACTTTCAGAATTCTGGTTTCATGTTTCCGTGTGGTCATGCGAGCCGCGTCTATTTCTAAACAACGACCTCAATCATTGAATCATTCGAAACATGGCGTTCTGTGGCACCATGATTGGCTTTGTGATGTGGTTTTTGTATCTTTCTGTGGCTGTGCGGCAGCGCCACCTGTTGGCCCGGTGTGTGGTGCCTGACATTTGTTTAACCGTTTACAAAACCACACGGCATTTATACAGGACCTGAGTTAAAATTAAATCTGCACAGAAGTTTCTCATAAGGAATTTTTACCTTTTAAAACATGAAATCGATATTTGAAAACTGCTTTTTGTATTTGCTGTGGTTAGCTTTGGTCTTTTGTTTGTTTATTTAACACTTGTTTTGTGTAACAAAAAGACAAAAACAGAGGTAACCTGTAGAAGAGTCTTGTTAAATTTCCCAGTTGATGCTTGTGGAAAATATTTACTGTAATCAGCCTCTATGACAAACAAACACTCTTTTTACCTAGTTAGCGCAACCAGTTTACATGTGCATAACTTTCACTAGGTTAAAGAAATATTAAAATTAAGTTTTTTCACTCTGAAAAATGTGATATCAACATTTTCACATTTTAAATATTTGAATATTTCAAATGTTCTTATGCATTTTTTCACATGCAAATGAAGGCCCTCAAGATTGTTATGAGATTCTGTTTATTAAAGGTGAGAGGGAGATAAATAGGTAGAATCAAAAGCAACATAAATTCTTCAACGGGGCTTCAAGTTAAAAACAAAATGACCATAACAGAAAACAAAGACATAAAAAGTAGTCATACAACTTAGAAAAGAACCAAGTTTTAAAAAGAAATAATGTAACTATGATTGATTGAATCTGTTAGATGGAATATAGAAAATCCCAGCACATAAAAATGCTCATAAACTGTAACATGCTATCATGGTAAACGACCCGCGGTACAGTTTAGCCTTTCGGAATCGTTTTATGCTGTGTACATATATTAACCTAAAACCAGATGCAAGATTAAAGTTGAATATCTTCCAAAGAAAATAAAAGCGTTGCTTGCGATGTGACCAAATCGTATAAAACTTGGTATTGACCTGGCTGGCAGATTTATAAAGATGGATGTGACAGTGGAGAATTTGGTGTTGGAGGGTTATGAGTGGAAATAGATGGGGTTAGCAGCTCTCCGGTGTAATAAAAGAAATGAAAGTAGTAATAGACTCTCAGTGAATTCCATTAGGGACACACTGACACTACACAAGCCATTCATTATAATGATGCTGTGAAGTGAGATATTTCATTGTGGGGACCCAAAGCCTGGTGTTAAAGGGGACACTGAGGGATGGGTGGAGCACAAAGGTCTGCCTCTGCTGCATTAACTGCCGTTCTCTTCTGTTTCTATGGAGATTTGAGGCTTTTCAGCCAATCAATCAATAGGAGCATGCTTTTCATCCTTCATCAGGCGGCCTTGAGCTTTTCTGTGTAAGCGGAGACGGGCAGAGAGCCCATTGAAATCTTGTGTTTGAAACTGTGTATGACTTTCCAGCGGTATGCTGAAAGTGAGTGCAAATGGATTTGTAATCTTAGCAGCATGTTTGCACCAAATTGAGTTGTTTTTTTTTTTATTTTTTTTTATTTTTTGTTTTTTTTTAGAATGCACACTTGCCACACAGCAAAAGCATCTACTGTTATTTACACTGCCACCTATTTGTCACGTTTCAATAGATTTTCTAATAAAATGTAATTTTCAGTGACCGTGTCGGTTAAATGAATGGTCTCCTTCATGCAGGTGGAAAAGGAGGAAAGAAGAAGAAAACCAAGGCTGGATCTAAACCTCCTAAAGCTAATGGCTCCAACTGGGCCAATGTTCCCCTGCCCCCTCCCCCGATTCACCCGCTACCCGGCACAGAGATGGACCTGTATCCCAACGAGCACCATGACGGAGGAGGGTAAGAGTGCGAACAGCGCCGGTAGATACAGAAAATATGTTTTCAGTTGACCGGAAAAAAAAGACAAAATAACACAAAAGCGTCTTTTTTAGGGTGAGTTTCATATCACAACCAAGCGTATGCATCGTGAATAATGACCAATTATTGCCGTTTATCTTAATGTATCCTAATTAGCGGCCATTTTAATTTCATTGCTCCATTTAGTTCGTATCAAAGCTACCAAGAGAGAATTTTCATTCATGCTTAATTTTGTCAGTGCCTTCTTTCTTTTCATAAGCAGAGCCAAAACGTTTCTGTGTTCAATAAAATGGCTCAATTCAGTTTATTTTTATAATGCCAATTCATAACAAATGCCATCGCGAGGCACTTTGCAGAAACACATTTTAATGTAAGATACTAAAATAGAGAAAAATAAATAGTAAACAATTGAGCATAGAGTCAGTAAATCAGAGCTTTTAACTACAAAGCATATGGCTTATTACTAATTTAAACCCTCATGTTTTAGCAACACGTTGCTCTTTGACCTTTTTCTAACATTTTCTTTCTGTAAAGCATCATTGCATACGCATACACTTCTGCAATTGTATCTTGAGCTGCAGTTGCACTACTTCTTATCTTCCCATCAATGTTGCAGAATTGAAACAGGACTAAACATAACATGAACGGTGTTTTGTTAAACAGACCTACTATCTCTAGGACGTTCTGTGCCTCTGTTGATGTGCTTGCGTTCTTGATAGCACGTTTATCGGGATCAAGGGTGAAAGAATTTACAGCAATGGTTAGCATAATGTCTCCTGACAATTCCTTGCTGAAATTGAAACAGATCTCTGTAACATGCCTGCATGATGACAGCACTGCACCATACATATTGAGGGTATACGAGTAAGACAGACAGCTGAAGGAAGCTGTTGCTTTTAGACGTTTAAATTAGTTCAAGTGTATCCAAGCACCTCAAACAGATTTCACTTTAAACTAACAGAAGCTAATTTAGCTGGTTCAGAGTGTCCCTCTTTTTGGTGCATGAGGTGCTGCGTCCTCTCACCTCCATTTCCAATCTGGGAGTCATCTGATTTAATAGGCTATCTGGCAAATGAAGAGTCTCCTCCACTGTAAATCTGAGGCTGCTTTTAATGGCAGCAGATTAAACCCGTTATGTCCTATGGCGTGTGCGCCGACAAATTTCTTTAATGAACATTTTTCTTTATGGCTTGTATTATTTCATCACGTATAAGCACAGCTATGAGGAAATGAAGCCTGGCAAGCACTATAATTTCACTCTAGTCAGTCGTATAACAAACTCCTTCTTAACTTGGACAAGGTCACAGAGGTTCATGTTTGTGCAGAGATTGTTCTCTTGTAATTAGAAAATGCTCTTCGTGTATTTTTAAAATACAAATCTCTTGGCTGGGTGATTTCCATTCTCACCACAGGTATGAGAATGACACGTGGGGCCCACCCATGCCTGTGCAGACGTACCTTCATCAAGGCATGGAAGATGAGCTGGAAGAAGAGGAGGAAAGGGTTCCCACGCCACCCATCCGAGGAGTGGCCTCCTCTCCGGCTGCCGTCTCTTTTGGACAGCAGTCCACAGCCACCCTCACCCCGTCTCCCCGGGATGAGATGCAGCCCATGCTCCAGGCCCACCTGGATGAGCTGACCAGAGCATACCAGCTGGACATGGCTAAACAGACATGGTACATTTGTATGCACTGACCTACTGTACTGTGCTGAATTGATGTCATCAAATGTTTTCCAGATTCACTCTGTGGACTTTGTTTTTTCTAATTTTCCTAAAAAGACCATCTTGTAAAAAGGTTACAAAGGTCACAAGATGGCCTTGTAACAAGGTTACCTGGTAACCTTGTAAAAAGGTTACAAGATGGTCTTAGTCATTTGAAGTAAAAAACAAAATATAATAAATGTTGCGACATACTTTTTATATTAGCCTACAAATCTCTTTGTCTAGCTAGCTAGTTGGCTAGCTGCCTAAGTTATCACAATATGACCCTCATGTAGATCATTTATTTAGCATTTGAGGATAATTTATCTAAAAACAAAATTTAAAAATGTTAGTAAGATTTTGTTTTAGGAAGGATAAAGTCCTTGATGCAACTACCTAACATTATAGCCACTTTGCCAGCTTTCTAGATAACTCATTCAGATGTAACATCTGAAAATAAGTTTGAGTATTATGATTTAGCTCTATTTTGGAGAAAATAAAGTCTTGGACTTTATTTGTATGAACTAACAGGATCCCAGTGAGTTAGCTAACTGGCTAGTGAATGTATTTAGATAACCATGTGGTATTTTTTGGCAATTGCAACAGGTCATTTACTTTCAAAATGTGTCGTGCAGATTGTGATTGCTTGTTTTTGTAAGTTTTATTCTTGCTCTGCTGTTTTTCCACACATGAACTCCGTGTGCCATGGATACAAACCCATTAATCATTCAACTTTAATAGGCCCTTGCTACTACTCCAAGCAACAACTACATTTTGCTTACTCCAACAGACACAATTTCATGCCCATGGTAGTTTACTTCCCCTACACACATACATTCTGCATTCCATTGTTGTTGTGCTCATGCAAGTCAGATGAAGGCCATGCTTCATTCTGTCATCGACGCCGAGAGAACCAGAGGCTGGCATTCATTCATTATCGTGAAGCGGGCTGTGATGTGGGGGTTGGGAGAATCAGGGATGCCTTGTCAGGAAGAAGATGTCATGTTACCCAGTAATGACTATGTTGGTTAGAGAGCATCTCTGACAACACCAGAGGGCCAGTAATTACAACCAATTCCCACTGCAAACCGCGTCAAACACTTTGCACTCCCTCTAACAAACGCGGCTGTCAGCCACTAAGGTGACAGCCATGTGTCGACAGGCCCCCGAGAAGGATGCCTTCGTCTCATCCACGCATGCAACCACCAGGTCATTGTACTAGCATGCAAGCTGAACTTTGGAGTTAGCGGATTTGTCTAAAGTCGATGTTGATGTGAGGCAAGCCTTGAACAATCCCTCTACGTCTCACTTTTTGCACCAGAATTGCAGAATTTTTGGACTCCGCTATATTCACCTAATATATGAAGTTTCCGTTCTCAGGCACATGCAGGGAGGCTCTCTTCCTCCCCTGGCACCAGCTCCGCCAGTGGGCTATGTGTCGAGCACAATGGTTTCCGACCTGGAGACTGACCTGCAAGACGAGGAGGAGGAAGAGGAAGACGAGGACGAGGATGAGGGCTACGGAGCCAGGCATCCCCGTGGTATTGAGCACACACCAGGGTCCAGCATGGACAACCTGGACAGCTCTTTAACAGGTAGGTTGGTTACCATCAGAAAATATTGTTTTTGATTGGGCCCACATTATTAATTAGGAAGAATATTTTTGCATTTTAATGTCATTATAACTTGTTCTACAGTCCTGCCGTTGGTCTTTCTTGAGTCATTTTTTATTTTTTTTTACATAAATTTGCTTACTGGTGTAGCCCTGTCCAATTTTTAAGGACTTCTGGCGGCCTGTTGGGAATTACAATTATTATTTCTAAAATAGAGATAAGAAAGTCCATGAATTTTAAAGAGGATAGTGAGAAGGGATGTGACCGGAAGGGGAAGACTGGGGTGGGTGGGTGGGTGGGGGGTGGACATGATTTAACTGGCACCCGAGTCCAGAGCCAGCGCCACCCGTATCTCCCCAATGAAATTTCAAATAAATTTCATGTGCAGCATATTTGATTCCAGACCAGCATCACCATTTTTTACAATTCAGTGAAAACTTTCACAGCTCTCTGCCGGGGATGGATTGAGGGGGAGAGGTGGATGAAGGGTACATCACTGCAGATCCAGGTTCTGGTCTGCTGGCTGGGTTCAGACAGAAGGTCACCATCCTCCACTGATGGATAGCCCTGTTCCACTAGAAGGGGGCGCTAAAGAGCTCAATGGAGCTAATAAAGAAACTGGAAGGAAACAAAATGAAATGATCAGTTCAGACGCATCTTTATGTGCTGCTTTTACACATATGGTGCGACTTTCATTGTAATGGAACTAGAATGATGAGAAACAAAGAGCACCATTTCAGTTAAATTTATTATTTAAAGGGCTATTCTTCTGAATTTAAATTACATTTTTACAGCATCGCCTGTCAAACTTCATGGATGGACTGGGGCAAAATGATTGAAAGCATCATATGGTTCACAGCAAGGTGGATTATGAAGCAGAGCATGCTTCCAGTCAATTGTGTCATTATTTGATAAATGTATTATAATGTAGATAGATAGATAGGTAGGTAGGTAGGTAGGTAGGTAGGTAGGTAGGTAGGTAGGTAGGTAGGTAGGTAGGTAGGTAGGTAGGTAGGTAGGTAGGTAGGTAGGTAGGTAGGTAGGTAGGTAGGTAGGTAGGTAGGTAGGTAGGTAGGTAGGTAGGTAGGTAGGTAGGTAGGTAGGTAGGTAGGTAGGTAGGTAGGTAGGTAGGTAGGTAGGTAGGTAGGTAGGTAGGTAGGTAGGTAGGTAGGTAGGTAGGTAGGTAGGTAGGTAGGTAGGTAGGTAGGTAGGTAGTAGGTAGGTAGGTAGGTAGGTAGGTAGGTAGGTAGGTAGGTAGGTAGGTAGGTAGGTAGGTAGGTAGGTAGGTAGGTAGGTAGGTAGGTAGGTAGGTAGGTAGGTAGGTAGGTAGGTAGGTAGGTAGGTAGGTAGTAGGTAGGTAGGTAGGTAGGTAGGTAGGTAGGTAGGTAGGTAGGTAGGTAGGTAGGTAGGTAGGTAGGTAGGTAGGTAGGTAGGTAGGTAGGTAGGTAGGGAGGTAGGTAGGTAGGTAGGTAGGTAGGTAGGTAGGTAGGTAGGTAGGTAGGTAGGTAGGTAGGTAGGTAGGTAGGTAGGTAGGTAGGTAGGTAGGTAGGTAGGTCTATCTGCCTTATATTTTGTCTAAATCAGCATTGCTCAAACAGCAGCCTCCATGTATTAGCCTTTGAAATGTTCAAAGGCTAATACATGGCTATCCCAGTATTTTTAAATGTGATGGAGATTAAAAACTGAAATGGAAATGTTGACCCAACCAATCAGAGCCAGGAGGAGGGTCTTAGCACTGTCCATGTGCAAATTGTGGAGAAACAACTTAATGCTACAGAAAAACTCTTTATCTGTCATCATCAGTGGTCATCCTAACTAACCTTAACATTCACTGCAGACTGCTTAGCTGTAGCGCAGCAGAGAGCAAAGGGGAGGTGGTGAACAGAGTGTGCACAAGGGTGATTTAAAGTGCTAATACCCTTTTGTGCACTGCTCACACCTTCCCCCATGCTCTCTGCTATGCCACAACTGCAGTGAATGCTAATGCTAGTTAGCAATGCCATGGATGATGGACGATAAACAGATTTCCTGGATTGAGTTGTTTCTCCAAATTTAGCACATGAAAGAGCATGTACACAAACTGACTGACAACACTAAGACCCTCCTCATGGTTCTGATTGGTTGTTTCTGACCAATTCTATCTGCAGATAGCAGTAGGACCACAGGAAGGAGGCTCATTGTTTCACACTGTCTGTCTAACGGTTTCCTATCACAGATTTAACAAATATGTAAAAAATAAACATGTTGTTTATAAAAGTCACATATTACAGTTTTAAAGGTTATTGTCGCGCATGTTCCTCTCACATAAATAAACTCAAACTTAATTCCACCCTGATCAATTGAAATGGGCAGAGCAGAAATAGCAGGCCTGAATGCTAAAACGTGACTTTCCAGCAGATGATGGAACAGCGTGTTTGTTTTGACATATGCTGCTGCAGTGACTGCGCTCAAATGTGCAGCATTTCTTCTATCCTGTATTGCTATGAAGACAGCGATATTTCTCCTTATCTCCCCACTCATGTGCTTCTGAGCCCATCGGTCCCGGCTCCAGGGTGAGCAGAAAGGAGAGAGGACATATAGGAGAAGACCGCCGAGATTTATCGCGGCCGCCGTTTTGATGCTCGACGAGCGAGGGAGGCTCCTGTCTGGTGTTGCTTGATAGATTTGACATTGTTTCAGAAATATGAAAATAGTTCTGTTTTCATAATGTTACACCGAAGGCTAGTAAATCAAGTGTCCTCACTGAAGCTTTGGAAAATATCCTCCATCTCCTCAGGGGTTTTTTGTCTTTCTTTCTTTTTTTTTTTTTCCTCAAGCAGCGTTTCTGCTCAGAGCACATGTTTTTACTGCGCTCTGAGCTCACAGAGCCTGTCTTTAGCTGATCAATGTAAGTCCTCAAGTTGTTTTGGGTATTGGAGAAGCATTTCTTTCTTAAGCCAGTGAGATAAAAGGTATTACTTGGTTTTTGTACAGGTCGTGTAACGTACTAGTTATAAAACTGGGGAGACTGTTGTGGGCGATTATGTTTCCACAAAGCCCCGCCAGAAGCAGCGTCCCTTCACTGGACTGCAGGTAGAGACGGCTGTTCGTCAGAGGGAATCATTTTCCCTCTTAACGACATGCAGATTACGGTTTCCATCGTCATAAATCAGTTTTAGAGGCAGGAGGGACATGGCCAGAGTTTTACTGCCCCTAAACCATCCAGTGTTTACTGGCCTTTCTCTGTCGGTGCATGGAGCGCGTAAGGAGTCGGCTGACCTTTTTTTTTTATATATATATTTTTTTAAGAGAGAGAGAGAGAGGACATTTCAGCCCATTGCTCTCATTTGAGATATAATAAAATGACAGATAATAAAAACTGGGGTTTGAGACATTAACGGCGACTAAATGCACGTCCGTTACAATCCCTGTGACCTTTTCCATCTAAGGTGATATGTGTATTTAAAACTGTAACAACCTGGTAGTTTAGGCACCATCAAATGGTTGCCACGGGAGATTCAAGGAAACATGTATAGACATTCTCAAACGTGCATGAAAGGAGTCAAACCAACACCATTGGAGCAGTATGTGTTTGAAGGACACAAGAGGGATTAGCATTATGTTATAAAACATGATGTAAACTCCAAACACTCAAAGATTTTCTGTCAATTTTCATTGTGAACTGAGCAGAGCCAAAATCTCACGTTTCTTCTGGCGAAGCCAGTATTATATTGACTTTAATGTATGCATGAATGAGATGCAGAGAAATTTTATCCTTTTGCTTTTTTAGGTACCCTTCTCTTGACTGATACCTTTGGCATAGGAGGTTTTGACACTTCAAATTGCCTCTCTGCAAATTAATATTTTGTCTCCTTTAGACAAAGAATGCAAAGTCAGGAAAAGCCTACTAGCACAGCTGAGCCAAAAATATGTTGTTGTTTTTTTTTTCTATCTCAAGGTATAACCCTCTAAAATCACCTTGGCCTCAAATCTTTCCACAGTGGCAATTTGACAGAGCCGAGTAGATTTCCTACCTCGAAGAGTAAAGAGTAAGCGTAATGGAAGTCAGATGTAATTAAACTGGAATGATCACAGTTTGATTGGCCTGATGTTTCAGAGATTAGAAGAGGTTTTCTTCTGTAGAGTGGATGTAAGTGTGGCTGAAAAGTTGCTCTGTGATGTGATTTGCTGAGGCAGTGCTCCCTTAGTAGAGCTGGAGGACTTGGAAGCCTCAGTGCTTTGGCTGGCACTGCCAATACTTCATTATCCTCTCTATTCTTTGTGGGAGGATTGGGCCCAGTGGAATTTCTGTCTTTCTTTCTTAGAGAAAAAACACTCTTAAGAAAGAAATTCAAAGAAAATAGAGAGAGGATAGACGGAGTGCTCGAAGCGGTTACTCCCTCCGATTTCAGTCGCGGCTGCACAAAAAAAGAGAAATGGGTCATGTCAGTAGATGCACAACCTTTTGCGAGCCTCTGCAGAAGTCTCCCAATAATTCTGAGTGAATTTTTCTGCAATCAAAGTGGAAAGCTGTTGCAACTTTTGCTGCCGAAAGTGCAATTCCCCAAAGTCACATCCAGCGAAGTAGCAGCCGTCTCTTTTTAAAGGAAGGGGGCCTGCAGATGAGGGGGGGAGTTGGAAAACTTTGAGGGGGGATTTCCCCAGCGTGTCTGGATACATAAACCACAGTCATAATTTTCTGCCCAATTTCAGAAGTGTTACATGTTATTTCAAAGGCCAGTACAATCCAGGGGAGCAAGAGGCTTTGGATTGTTGTGTGAGTCGCGTTCGCTTCAGCGTCCGTCTGCTGCCACTTTTGTGAGATTTCTGTCATACTGACCTTTTAATTGGTCCAACAATCGTCCCAGTTGCTGCCTCGGCCACCTTTACCCTGGAACCATCCCGGTTCTGTTAAAGCAGCCTGTTCCGTGGCGTTGCGGTGTGTGAGGAAAGAGATGGGAGTGTGTGAGCTGAGCTCTTTGGGTCTGTGCCACTCAAGCAAAGTCTGCCAAACCATTTCCACTGAAAGCTGTCACATTAGCCGACTGTTCTCCGTGTTTCTGCCCGCCAAAGTGCCATATTTTTATTGGCAGACAGATACTTTTATATTTAAAGTTGCTGGCCCAGCTTTTTATGTGTATGGGAGGAGAAAATCAAGGCACAAAGAAATACAGTAGGATGCGTGTAATCCAGCGGTCATGAGTTGGACCCTGTATATACATCTTCCCTGTGTGCCTTTTTGACCCGGTTTGACTAGATGTAAAACTTTTTGCCAAGTACTGATTAAATCCATGTTTGTTTAGTTTTTGTGGGGTTAATTGTGATGGCTGAACACCCAGGGGGATTACTTGGACAGAGCGGTTATTGATGTCATGAGTTCTGCTTTAAACCATCAAAAGTTTTGTCCTGGATTAATGCCAATCAGGTTGCGTTGCCCAAAGCCTCCATAATGGTCTGACTGTGGACTCCCTGCTCCCACTGTTGACTGTAGCTGTGGTGTGAACTGAGATGTGTCTTCATCCCTTAACTTTGGGTTGGTTTTGTTTTATATTATTTTATTTCAACCTTCATTTTGCCAGGATGGAAGCCAATCTTCTGAGGTTATAGTTTTACGAATAAGGAAATGCTTCTAACACATCAGCATCAAATGATTGTCAGCCGCAGGACTTAGAAACGAATATTTAAACTGCTGAATCCACAGACTGGTCATATCAAAACTTTTTTTTCTTATTAATATTACTACTTCTGCCAATGGTATAGCTTTTTTTATATTATAACTTTATTTTTGTACATTTAAAAAACTATTTCTCTTGGTCTGGCTCTAATACTCCATCATATTTGCATTACTAACCAATGCTTCCATTTTTTTCCCACACTTGCCTCCTCCTCCATCAGCTCTGTACACCAGTGTTCCTGTACAGACTATTTCTTCTAGTGGTTTGAACAGTAAGCCTGTTGATTCATTTGAACACCGCTGCCACCTAGTGACCGGAGGCTTGTTTATAAAGACAAAGACAAGAAAGACAATAATAAAGTCTCCCTGCATCACACTAGAGCTCAAAACATTTTCTGTAAAGACAGTCTTTGTAGTAAAAATATTCTTTGTTTATCCATGTGACATATTCCTTTTACATAAAGTCTTTTTGTCAGCAAAACAAAAGCCAGTCTGTATCCATATATGAAAATGCTTCCTGTTTTAAGGTGGCTAACTCCAAATACTCATTTGCTTCTTTGTTTTTTTTTAAGTGCCTTTTAAAATTCATTGTCTTATCTGGAAACTAAATTGATGCAAAACAACATTTTATAGTTTTAATATTTTTAGTTTTTGTAGCTGCAAAATATATCAACCATTTAAAGTACATTTCAGAAATCGAAATAATAAATTTTTATATATATGCCGCTTCTCAAAATATTCCCGCTGCTCAACCACGGGTGGCTCTGCATTTTTAAGCAGCAGGATGAAACTCTCCTCTTACCACCAGGTGTTTCTTTCTATCCAGCGTTCAGTGAGACGTCACCTGAGGCGCTTGTGAAGCTCCACACAGGTGCTCACATTGTTCTTTATTAAAAGAAGTTCACAATCAGTTGATGACAGTCCCGCTGCTTCACTGTGTGCATTCCTTTGTGAGCGTGTGTGTTTTGTTGGTTTGTGACTGTAATAGTTGAAAGAGGGCAGGCCAGAACAAAATGACTTCACAACATTTTTTCTTTTACAAGAACAGAAACGACCTGCGGCAGAAACAAAGTGATTAAATGCAGTGATTTAAATATTATTTTTCTAAGATCACTCAGTAGCATTATGCATCTGTATGTTCGTAGATCTAATATTAACATACACCAATTTTGGGTATATATACATATATATTATTATTACTATTTAACTTTTAAAAATATTGGAATAGTATGTAACCAAAAACCACCCAGTGTCTGTCAGTAGAGGTGTCAGCGTCACACCTCTACTGATTGTATCATCAAAATATGTGATACTGCATATTTTGGTATTGATTCAGTAACAAGTAAATACAGATACCGCAGTGTTGTAGAACTCCAGGTCGGTCTTAGTCTTGAGACCATTTTTTGATGGTCTCGGTAACGTCTCGGTCTTGGGTGCTGAGAACTTGGATTTATGGTTTTCTGAAGTAAACGAAACACAAATAATGTCAATTTGAGAGCAAACTGAAATAAAATGGGTTTTTTTTTAAGGTACAGTTGAGACACTAAACCACAAAAATAAGCTACAATTTCAAGAGGGAATCTGAAACTAAAGAATCAATCTTACGATGCCAGCATTGTTCTGATACTGATACTGACATGATATTGATGTTATGAATGTTTTGAATCCATCTTCTCACTTTTACCTGTCGGTTTCTGGAACAATGAACCAGATGAAGAAGAGCAGAAGGCAGACTTTATGTACAATCAAAGGCTTAAATGAGGAAAACTGAAATTCACTTAGCAAAGTCTAGAATTTAGAGCAGAAGGAACTGACAACGAATGAATGAAGCTGCTCCATTAATCAGGGGTGCTTAATGGAACAATCAGATTGATTGATTTAGATGGAGAGGGAATAAAAAAATCACAATTACTAAATGGAACATAATTCAAGAATGACTCAAGAAAACAGAAAATCTCAAGATAAAATGAGTGATAGGAACCAGAATACCAAAAGTATGATCCATAAGAACCAAGAACTCAAACAGTCTTAAGATCCAGGACAAGACTGCCTTATGCTATGATGAACTCCCCAAACAGTCTTACTGAAAGCTGTGGTGTCCCACAGGGTCCATGGTGAATGGGTGGGGCTCGGCCTCGGAGGATGAGCGTAATTTTTCCAGCCATAGATCCAGTCTGGGCAGTTCTTCCGATGGCTCCATCTTTACCCACTGCAGCTTTGCCCAGGCCCTTGTGGCTGCTGCAGACAAGGCAGGCTACCGCCTTGAGGGAACCAGCCTCAGCAAGAGAGGTTGGTTTGTGGAAACCGGATACCCACTGCTGCAGTAGAGCCGCTCTCCTCTAATAATTCCCTCTGTCATCAGCTGGCTGATGGTTTCTGCCTTCATGTTTTCTTGGCCTTTCTGCTTTTTTTGGAATCTGCACAAAGACTGTGCATGGCCCTCCTCTTGATTCTCCTTTTTGGGTTGTATAAGTAAAACATGGGAGACCAGTTAAATTTGCAAGCTTTTACTCTTTTTGTTCTCTCTCTCTCAGTCCTTCACTTGTGAATGAATGAAAACCGTTTTCTTCAAACCGTTTTGCCAAAGTCAGTTGATGTCATGTGTCTTTAATGGTATCACTTCCATCTCTGCTCTCTGGGTGGCGGCTCCTCAGGGCTTTATTAACCAGGAAGCTTTTTGGTTTATGGAATCTGTTTTTTTAATGCGCTATGAGTATAAATTTGAATTGACTGATTTGTTGGTTTGCAGGTAAAGGCTTGTCCCACAGGCCCCGTCCCAGCAGTCCATTTTCAACAGATGGCAGCACAGTTGGCACACACAGCCTGGGCCACCAGAGGGCCACCAGGCCCACCCGCAAACCACGAAGTCAAGGCACAACACCTCACCGGAGAGACACTGGTGCAGACGGTGAGGCCAACACGGCGGAAACATAATGCAGTTGGTTCAGTAAAAATTTTTTTTAAAACATCTGTAACATTTTAAAACATTTAAGATCTAACTCATCATATAAATTAGTGTTCAGCTCTTGCATTGTTTACAACATTCCATTCAAAGATATCCATATCCCTTGAATAACATCAATATTTTATATTCAGTTGCAGACTAACGTGTTACTTTTTATTTTTTTTACTTTAATTTTTTATATTTTATAGAAAATATATCTGAAAAGTATGGCATCCAGTCAGCCTCCTGGGTTAAACAAATTTGAAAACTATTTTTCACTCCAGTTGTTTGGGCGTATGTCTACACCAGCTCTGCTCACCTAAATGCTGAAGTGTTTGCTCATTTTTCTGAGTGAAGTTCTTCAGTTTCAGCCATTATGGACAGAGAGCATTAATGCCAATCTTTTAGTCTTTTCACAGATTCCCATCTAGATCTGTACTTTGATGATTTTACTTACCATGACCTCTGAAAATATTTTCCACAGTGTAGCGCTGACAGGATGGTGTCCAATCTTAGTTTTCTGTCACTTATAGGGTTTAATATTTGTACATCCTTCTTTCAATGAAGAATTCTGAACTGCTTGTCTTGATTTATCTCATAAAATCCCAATTTGATACACGTGCTAAAAAGGCAAAAGGTTTGCATGTCAGTTAATCTGATTCACCATGTGGTTTTTCTTTACAAAGACCTACCTCCCCCCCCTGAGCCTCCTCCCTGTCAGGGCCAGAGCCGCATCCAAGGGACCCGCAGTGTAAACAACATGGCACCACCCACAGACAGGAAGGCTTCGTCTCTGGAGCGCACGCCCATGTCAGGACCGCTCTGTGGGCCAGACGACATGAAGAGCTCTATTGACAGACAGATGCGAGCCTCTCTGGAACATCACCGCCAGGCCCAGGATCGACTGGGCTCCATGGACCGGACGGACGATGCCCGCAGGTGCCACAAATCAGGTACAGACGAAACCAAGACCGTCTCCAAACTCCACTCCAACTTTTAACAGTAACATAAAGTGAACTTGTGAAGTTATGATGTTTAAAGCTGCAGCGCTTCAGTGTCAAACAGACATCATATTAGATAATTCAGGTATTAGATAAGGCTGGCCTATAAATTGATTTTATCAATCAAATTTTTGGTTTTGAAGATTTCCTGTTTGGATGCCCACCCCCACGGTCGCCATCTTGTTCTGCTATTTTTTTTTAACTGGACATTGAATTTGGGTCAACTCTCTGACGGAATACTGGGGCCAGGATAGAATATGTTTGTTTTGTTTTGTTTTTTTATTATGAAAATAAACTCATATTATTAGAAGAATACACATATACGACTGCTAATGTAATAATAGTGGAATTTTTTCTTTAAATAGTACAAATGACATTAGCAGAATAAAGTTGGAATCTATTAACAAAAAATTCATAACAAAAAATGTAAATTATAAATATTGAGGGTCTTATGAAGTTATACTTTGGTGTGTTTTACAGATGATTAATACTGAATGAAATACTCACCTGTTAGCATCGACTTGATATCAATAGCAGAGCTTTAAAACAAACTGAGTTAGTTATGTCAAATCTTTTTTCTCATTAAAAACTTGTTTTCTTGCAATTTCTTCCATGTGACATTGTGTCTTTTTTTACTAATATTATGACCAGGTTTTCGTAATTAGACAAAAATTATCTTCGCATCGCCCTTATTTCCCTTCTTACAGCCCAGGATGGGGATGATTGAAATAAAAGCTGCCTTTTGAAAATGTTTTCTGTCATTTCTTTTTTCAAAAGAGAAAGAGAGCAGAAAAAAAACATTTACATCGGCTCTGGTCGGAAAAAGTATGAGATTTTAGTTTTTAGCCATATTGATCAGCAATATTTTTAGCTGAAGATAAAATTGATAATTTCATTTTTAATAGTTGAAGCCCTGTCATGGACTGAAATTATAACAATTGGATGTCCACATATTAGGAAAAATAGAAAATACATTGTCTATTCACCTCAGATAAATCTGGAATGTAGAAAGAGGAACCAGGATATGTTCCAGTGAAACCAAGAAAAGAACAAAGACAGTGCGGTGTGGGCGCAGCTGTGCGGCGATTGCAGGGTGTTTGTTCTAGTAGTTCTTGTGTTAAATGGAGCTTCCATGCCGCTTCGAGACTGAGCGAGCAGATTGCGCCGTCTGCCACTTTATCTGCTTTCCAGGATTCTCCCCCGTCTCCCTCCGCCCCACCCGCCCTGTTGCCCCTGAAACTGTTGCCAGTGACGGCCCGCTCCGCTCCAAGTGACGTAGCAGGGCGTAGCAGCCGATAGACGGACCGTAATGGCCGCCGCTCTGGGCCCCATCTGTGTGTGTGAGTGTGTGTGTGTGATCGTTAGCGCTGCCCGGTTCTGCTGGTGCCAGAGATTTTTTTGTTAAACTGTTAGGTGTAAGACAACAACACGGGCCACAGTCAGCGAGGGTCCTGACTGATGTTCAGGAGAATCATCGGAGGTCAGGGCGGGCTCCATTACAGTCATTAGCAGAACAGTGGGAAGCAGTTTGATGAGATTTCACGTGATGATAGAGACTGCTGAGGAGGGTTAATGTTCAGCTGCCCTGCAGTGGGAGGGGGGAGGAGTGGTTCCAACCAGTGGACCCTCTATTGTTGTTCCCCACGATAAGTCTGGTGACTGGGAGGGGAGGTCGAGGGTCATCCCTGTAGCACGCCCTGGCATTGCTTGCTGGCACTGCCACTCTGCAGATGTCAGCTTCTGATGGGGGGCTTTTTTGTTTTTTCTTTTGAAATGCGTCATGTAGCTGTGAAACATTTCCAGTTTGAGGGAAAGTATCGACCACATCAGTGTTTTCCTGCGTTGACATTTTGCAAATTCATTTGTCCACACATACAAAAATGTTACTTTTGTCTATTAATTAAATCTGTTCAGTTTGAAAAAATATTTCATTTATGCCAAAGGGAAATGTCTTCACTTACATCATCCAACTATCTTCAGATGGTTGTTGTGGATGGTGATGCTCTTCTGCAGCAGTCAGTTTTGCAACGACTCTATAAAAGCCTCTGACTGAAGGCTGTTGACAGTAATGATAGATCAACATCTGAATTTCGGGTCTAAGATGATATTTCACTGTAATATTACTAGAATGCTCTGATAATCCACTTCATTTGCTCCACTTTAAATATAAACCTAAGATTAAGAAGGATGAAAGATGGTTTCAACTTCCTCCTTCTCCCATAAATCTCCTCTGGGGTTTTATTTGAGCTTTCGGCATGCCAATCATCTGCTCCCAGTTGTAAAAATAGCAATATGTTGCCACGGTTGCACATGACAACTTTTATGTGCAAATATTTTAAAAAAAGAAAAGTAAGACCAGCATCCACAGCCAGAGGGAATAATTGTCCAAACATGCAACGCCTCGACTAAAAAACGAACTGAAATGTAAAATAAGAACAAGTCAGAACTAACTGAGTGACTTCAGCACAATTCTATAGATACACAGACATAGATACGTTCTAGGTCACTCTAATGTGTCTGTGATAAATTAATTACTGACAAGTTTGATGCAAAGTGAAAAAACATAAGAGAACTTGAAAACCCTGAAATGTCTGCATTTTGTTTTTCAGAGGATGGGTGTGTCCCATACAGCAAGCCGTCCTTCCCCTCTCCCGGTGGTCACAGTTCCTCTGGGACGGCCTCCTCCAAGGGGTCAACGGGGCCACGCAAGACCGACGGGCCGCGGCAACCACAACAGTGGACGGCTACGGAGCATGCCGAATTTCTGGGGGCCAACGGACATGGAGAGTTATGTAAGGACTCGTCTTTTCTGACTTTACAAAAAACTGAAAAACGAAAAATCTAAATGTTTTTTTTTTTATGAGGATAAAGTCACTGGCTTGGATACTACGTGTTAAACATATATGGCAGTAGTTCTAAAACTCCTGCACAGCCATTCACTTTTGGAATATAATCGGAATATCTTTTATTGTCCCACAAAGGGCAACTTTCTGTGGCAACAGTCAATATAAGAATCACAAAAACACAATAAAAAATAAACTTCTGTACAGTAAGGACAACATTTCAACATAAATACCATGCGGTCATACCTATAAGTTAAATGTATAATAAAGATTTGGCTCATTTAAACATGTACAAAATGTTAATAATGCAGTGATCCCCACAGCATGCTGCTGCCACTACCAGATGTTTTCTCTGACACCCTTTGTTTAAAAACCTTTTTGACTTTCGCTGAACTGCTGTTTTCATAGATTAAGGCCTAGTCAATGCATAGGCCTGTCTGGGAAGACAGATTCATTTTTATGTGTTTTAACGTTTCATCCACATGAAAACTGAGTTTAATGTAACTACAAACTGTTATTTACGTAAAACATAACTATTATTTGAGAAAACTCTGTATATATGTTTATATGCATGTGAACATGGGAGAACTGAGATTTAGAGTCCCGCGCATTGCAGACTATCCACAAACTTGCTTTGACACAATTTCCAATCGACGTTGTCTTCTGCATTTAACAACTTTATATTCCAATATGCTATTTAAAAGTAGTTCAACCTATATATCCATCCACAAAAATCAACCCCCAGCCGCCATCTTTAATTCCTCACAGGAAGTTATGATTGTTTTGAAGCAATCTGATTGGCTGACATGGGTTTTAGCTTTGTGCTACACTGCCCCCTGTAGGTGTGCCATGTTTACATTAACGCTCAGAGGCGGTTTGTGTTTCTCCATGTGGATGAAAACTTTTCTGAAAACGATCCAGAGTGTAGGATGTATGTTTTATTAGTCGATGTGGAGGAGGGAATCATTTTTGCAAAGTCCTGGTGACGTCTGTACGATGTTTTTATAACACACAAGTGAAACGTATTAATCTTTGTAGCAATAAATTGTTTCAGAACTTGCCAAAATGGGGAAACATTCAACAAATATGAAAACCTTTGCTCTGCAAATATGTGCATCAAAGCTTTTGAGGCATTTGTTTCCACTTTTTCTTGGCTGTTTTCCTGAACCATCTTCATGTTTTCCTCCATGCTCATCTCCTCCACAGAGTGACCCTTCTGGGCTCCCGTCCGGGCCAATAAACTTTCTCCTCGTACCTGTGTGTTCTCAGAGGGGGAGGCGCCCGGCGGTGGAGGGCGCCACGGCGGTGGAGGGCGCCACGGCGACGAAGCGGTTTCACAGAACTGTACATGTGATGTAAAGTCACAAACATACTGTACATCTCACAATGGTTTAGTCCTCAAGAAAATATTTTCCACCACCTACCTTACTGTAATTTTCTTTTTGTTAGAAAAAGGCAAGTTTAAAAAAAGGAAAAAAAAAAAAAAAGAAAGGAAGCATCTAGGTGGGGAAAAAATAATAATAAAACTTTGTTGTATCTACCCTTCGGGAAAAGGAAATATTGTTTCCTGTAAATATTTTCTTTGCCATGTTGTTGCATTGCTATGCAAACCCAATAGAGTTTAATTTTTTTTTTATTTCCATATACAATAACAGTTGGGTTTTACCTGGTTATTTGTACTATATGTGAACTAATTGGCTTTTGTGCCATAAGATTTTTTTTTATCCATTGTTTGTTAATAGCTACCATTAATTATTATTAATATTATCATTATTATTAATATTATTAATTATTGTTTTTTTGCACTGCAATTTTTGGTGATAAGCACAAAAACATAGCTCCTGCTGACATGAAGAACCGGAAGAATATGTGAAGAGGAGTTTCTGTACTGTAAAGTAAAGAGAAGAAGATATATTCTAGTGTACAGAGAGATATTAAAGAGTCATGCTTTTCTCACAGACAGCATCCATTTCTACAGTAGAGACGAACCGAGTGGCAGACGCCAGTCCTGAAGGCGCGAGGCAGAGCTACAAGGCCTGGGAACGGATCCGAAACCGAGCCAACTCGTGGATTCGGTTAGCTATTAATTTATTCTTCTCCTTTTTGTTGAATTTATGGTTTAGTGCCTAAATCATTTTACAAAGCGGATCTCATGCTCCTGCACAGCACAGCCTCAAACTTCAAAAAGAAAAAAAAAACGGTTAACTTTGTCTGGATGCTGACATCACATATAGCACAAATAGGGTTTTATTTTTATCATATTTTATTTTACAAATAGGGTTTTATTAAGTTACAAGACCATCTAAACTTCCTTCTAAATTAGATCGTTTACATTTTATTCGAGCTGATTTTGTTTTATATTTGCTGTTTTAGCACTTATTTGAATCGCTTAATCTGTTATCACCGATCGTATCAATGAAGAAAACATTTCGTCTCCTGGGAAAAACCGAGTTATTAATGTGGGAAAGTCGGTGACTCACATGTGAACCAAATGGTCAGTTTGCCTCTTTGTCGATTTCTAGACAGTTTAACCCCACAGATCTGTAACATGTCAGTTCATTCTCCTGTTACTTAACCATTTTGAGAAATTAAGAGTGAAAAAAAAGCATAAAATCTCATTTTCCACGTTTGATTTATTTGAAAGTGATTTCCAACAGCGTCGTTCTTACTTCCAGGTTCAAACCAGTTCACTTTAGGCATGGGCCAGAATCAATTTACAATAACCCAAAGTAAAAACAGCACAGTGTTATGAAAATAAAATCTATGACATCATGTAGTTGATTCTGTTTGAAAGCTAAAAGCAACAAGTCTTTCTACTGCTGCTAAAATAGTACATTCTGCTGATTATTACAGCTTAATGTCATGTTTAGCTTTTTATTATTTAGCATTTTATTAATTGATTTTCAGGGTTTAAAGATGAATGTTATTATAGTACAGAATTCATAACATTTTTGCTCTAAAATCAACAAGTTATCAGTTTCAGCCCACATTCACTCGCTTAAATCCAACTCCTAGCTTATCAACAGTTGTTTTACAACAGTGTTGCCTTATTAAGATAAGAGGCACTCATTTAGGATGGTTTCCAATGGGGGTAAAAAACACTATGTGGAAAATGTTGCAGGTCTCTGTAGGCAGGTGTTGCAGATTTGCAACAACTTAGACAGTCTTTTCAAGTAATTTGAGCCTGAGAGGGTTAAGCCAGCTTACAGGCAGTGTGTAGGGAAAAAAAATAGAGAAAACTCAGGTCACTCTGGAAACTCTTCAAACTTACTTTAAATCACAGAAACTTTTCATTTTTTGCAGACCTTGGTTTACCTTGATCCATATCATTGGCCCATGCCTAGCAACACTTATTAAAACTGAGAGTGAGGCCAATGCACCAATGGAAGAGCAGTCACTGGTGTTTAAAAAAACATATTTAAAATAAATGACACTTAACCTGGTGGGGAGGCAAGAAAAGCCTGGTGGCCCGCCAGGCTTATAATGCACAGAGGGAAACTCAGTGAACTATCAATGGATTAGATAAAATTGATTTGTCTTTAAAATCCCCTATTAAAGTCAGAAATGACAAAAGGGCAAAGTGGCCAGCATCCACAACAAGTACGATCAGCATAGTCTTGTCGGAAACTTTTTTTATTGTTTAAATGGTGATTCCTACACACTGCGCATCTTTAGGTTAGAGAGCTGACGAAGCAAAGGCCTTGTATGTTAGTCAGTGGCTCCACTGCCTTCATGTCTACAGCCACAGTGGGAAGCAAAAAACCCTTTCTTATCCACCTGACTGCCACAAAAACACGCTGGTATCATTTACCGCTTTTGACTTCACAACATCGGATTTTTTTAGATATGAATCTTTTCCAACAAATGTCCTTTTTGGAAGCTAAGCTTGTTTCTTTGTATGCCTTTTATGGACTCCCAAAACGCTGCTTACAACAATGTTTTTCAATTGTAATGTTCAGGATTTTTGTGGTTCAATGACTGTTTGTTTTGTCTTTTTTTGTACTGCTAATGTTGATTGAAATAAAAAATAGAAAAAAAAATGGGGATGGGGGAGTAGGGGAAACTAAAGGCCATCAAAATGCTGTTGTACTGTTGTCGTAACACCATTGTCGTACTTTATTTTATTTTTTTAAGGATACACCCAGTGGCCAGTGTTCTGGGAATGAGGTGCAGAGAGTATCTCAGGTTATTTTGCATTCTGGTGGTGTTTATGTATGTGTATATATGTGTATATATCCATACACATCTCCACTTGATTATTCCATTCCTTTTTGATTAATAAACACTTTCCATCCCATGTTGGAATCCGTTATACCCCCTTTTTTTTTCTTCATTATTTTCATTGCGTTTTAATTTTCTGCTGGGGACTTTGATCCCGATGCGCTGGTTCATCCAACTTAAAGACAAGATGTCAGTAAAAGAACATACCAAATTTGAAATTGATATTTCTAACGTCTAAATGCGTTTTTGTGTCTTTAATACTCAATTTTCTTTCAAATCACAGTGTCGTTTTGTATTTATTAAAATGCTAATAAAGGTATATTGTGAAATATGCATAAAATTTGTAAGATATAAAATGTGTTTTCTTTTTTCTTTTGAACTGTTACCTTTGTTCCTTGTGAACGTTGGTGTCGGCGCTGAGCAGCGAGGCCGTTAAGAGGTGATGTGGAGGCCGTGCTCTCCGCACAGCGATGCGCCGGTCGGTCGTCATCCAAGTCGCTCTTCGTCTTGCATGTTCACTGCACTGCTCTTCTCGAGTCGCAACTTTTCGACACGGGGAGTAAAAACACAATTTGCTTGTCGAGGCAAAAGAGAAAATGTCTTTTTCAAAGTGCTTTACCTCTTTTCGTTCATTTTCTCAATATTGTTGGTTCTTTGTAGCCTATCTGTGTCTTTCCTTTTTGCTATAAAAGCGGATTAAAAATGACAAAAAGTGAAAGTTGTTGGGTGAAGTCTTTCCTGTACAGCATGGGGTGAGGTAACACTCCAGATCCAATGCCATTTCTACGGTACGCTCCTCCTTTCTCTCTGTACACCTCCTCCTGTATTCACTTGCATGTTCTTTTCCAAAAAAGAGAGAGTGAATCAAGAAAACAAACTCCTGCAGTTTAGTTCTCATGACCTGTAAAATAAGTCCATCTTTTATTTCCTTGTTCCTGGATCAATATCAAATAAAAATATTTTTGAAAAATGAATTTAAATGACTTAAATCCTTTGTCCTTGAAGGAGAGAGATTTAATATATCCACTAATCAGTTGGCGTGATATCCTTAGCACGCTAACTACCTAATGCTAAAAGTTGTGTTGACTTATGTAGAGCTTGAAATGACAGCTGTAATATGTCCTGCACAGAGTCTATGGGCGACGCCATGTTGGAATTACAATCTCTTAACTGGAACTGGAGTCTGACGTCAAACTTATGCAACTGGAACTCAGCATCTTAACATTAGCATTAGCATGCTAACATTTACTGTGCATGATTCTGTTTTTTTTTCAATCTAAAAGGCAAAGTTGCATGTGAATTCAAAGCTAATAAGAAAGTTTGCTTTTTATGCAGATATTTGACAGAAACTTGCAGACCTACTTCTTAAGCTAACCTGAGCTACTAGTCTACTACCCTGTCTACTAGTAGCAAAATGTGATAATCAGTCTTGCATACTTACACTAATGCAGGACTATATATAATATCAACTAAAGGTAACTAATTAATATATATGCTCATCACAGTGACAACAGTACGTTCAGAGGGGGAAGCATATTTTTAATGTGTATTTTTTATTTGTTGATAACTTGGAGATGTTACAGCAGCTGGGATGTCAAACAGGACTTTTTAGCACTAGTCCAACACACCTGAATCAAACAGCTAAATTAGCTTCTCTGAATGTGGACAAGTTCTCCAGAGTCCTGCTAATGACCTAATTATTTGATCTGAGTGTGTTGAAGCAGAGACAGATCTGAAAGTTGCAGGACGCCGGCCCTCCAGGGCCGGAGCTTGACACCTGTGAACTCCAGGAACCGGTGTGTTGCTGTTAATTGTCCCTCCGCTCTCATTTCCAGCCTTAAACTCACTGTGTGTGATCCAGATTTTCTTTGTCAGGTGCAGCAACTCTTCTTTTTCGGGTAATGTATACTTCACTGCTAATTATATACATATTTTTTTAAGTTCTGACAAACATGTCGCAAGGCCGACACAAATGTAAACCAACTTGATCCTGGAGACAATCACTGAATTTAGAATGGACCCGATTTATGTCCCCACCAGGCTTCAGGTTCGGGAAATGTATCACTTCTCATATTTTCCATAAATGATTTAGGTTTACTACAGTTGTTGGCAGGTTTTAAATCAGTTTTTTTTTTTTTTTTTTTTTTTTTGGGGGGGTGGGGGGGTTTGCATTTTTTGTAAAATATCAAATATCAGCACACTCTAGACAATTCAATCTGGTGCATGAAGGATTGAATCTGTACACAGGGCCAGTGCTAGGTTTTTAAGTGGCCTAAGCACAAATGCATTGTGGTGCCCCCACTACCCAACACACACACACACACACCACACACACACACACACACCTGCCTCTGAACTTAATTATTCTGAATTTATGAGTGCATTTCTCTTCATTTTCCTGTAGAAAAATAAAGACTCACCTAGGTAAAAGTTTTTCGGAGAAAATAAAATCAGAAAATAAAGTACAATGAGTGAAATGTATCAAATGTAACTATGACTCATTCTAGAAAGTGCTGCTAGAAAAATACTTATTTCTGTGCAGTTGTCACATTGTTTGATGCCTCAGCAAAAAAAAAAAAAAAAAAATTGACTTTACAGAGAAACCTGTGATATGATCATGAAAGGTTTTGTTTTCCTGGGGAAGGTTCTGCAGAAGGAGTTCATTGCGTTGGTGTATTTCTCTGATCAAATTCAAATTCTCATCACTGTTGGTTCAACCTTCACAACATTTATAGTCTGTAGTGCTCATCTGGGAGGCAGCTTCTCATTCCTTCCAACAAATTGCGAATTCCTTTGGATGTGCCTCATTTGCTTCAATATGAATTTTTTTCAGTTTTATTTTATTTTCTTACATTATGTTAGTTCATGGACTCTTATGAATGTCAAATAGTCATTCTTTCTGTTTCAACATCGAGCTTCGAAGGACTGAATGCAAGCTGGTATGACGACAACTATTAATTCGGTGATAGAAATCTGGCTCCAGCAGCAGGAAGAGAAGGATTTTCAGGAAGGAAACTGTGATGTCATGGGACCTTTGACCTCCCAGGAGAAAGTTCAGTCCTGAAACCGACAGGAGAGAAGAGGTAGTAGTCTACCTGTTTAGTTATGTGTAGCTCTTGCTAACCACAGCAGTTACTGTAGGAATAGGAGACTTCACGCTCTGAGCCTTGCTAACCAGGCAGCTGAAGCTAAAGCTGCTGTAGCTAAAGCTGCTGTAGCTAAAGCTGCTGAAGCTAAAGCTGCTGTAGCTAAGGCTGCTGTAGCTAAAGCTGCTGTAGCTAAAGCTGCTGTAGCTAAAGCTGCTGTAGCTAAGGCTGCTGTAGCTAAAGCTGCTGTAGCTAAAGCTGCTGTAGCTAAAGCTGCTGTAGCTAAAGCTGCTGTAGCTAAGGCTGCTGTAGCTAAAGCTGCTGTAGCTAAAGCTGCTGTAGCTAAAGCTGCTGTAGCTAAAGCTGCTGTAGCTAAGGCTGCTGTAGCTAAAGCTGCTGTAGCTAAATGAGGTAAATAGTAAATAAATTCCTTTTTTTGATAAAACGTTTTTGCCTAAGTGCAATAAAATGTATACTTCTTGTATAGTTTTGCCTTTGTTATTTCCTTGAGTTTGCCTTTCTTTGAGTGACGATTAATCAATTACTAAATCAGTTGACAAATGTTTTTTTTAAATTAATTGATACATCATGATTAATCCATTAATCCAGCCCTAATCTACAGGTCTATGTTGCCTTATCTTACTCCATGCATACAAACAAGAAACCATTGATTCCCGATCACACATTCACGTCACTAGACACATCCAAATATATGGTTTTCTGCAGCTACATACATGTTGACCTACATTTTATTCAGTCAGTGCTTGCTTTGGTTTAAAGGTTTTGTGTTTTTTTCCCTGAGGTATTTCTTTTTTTTTTTTTTTGATTGTGCACACCTCTGAGTTTTTTATTTATTTATTTTTTCACCTAGAAATATTCCTCTATTAAAATAAAAAACAAGCCCTCACACAATGAGAAGAAGCTGTGTGTGAAGATCTAATTCTCCTATTTCTGTTGCGGCGTATTTTTGCATTTGTGTGCATAAAACAGGTTCCCAGATCCATCCGACCCTTTTAAACAAACCCATCAGACAGACAGAGACAGAGAGAGAGAGCGAGAGAGAACTGCATCTGCTTCACAGCTCTTCCTCTGTTTGTGCCTGGCAAGCACGTACAAGTAATGACTGCTCCACTTCTTGCCAACGAAGCAACTTTCCTCCTCATGTTTTATTTCCAACTGTTTACCGGTGTGTGAGTGTCTGTGTGAGTGTCTGTGTGGGTGTGTGTGTGTGTGTACTCCACCTGTTCCCTATTTTTCTTCTTCATCTGAATGAGCCACAAACAGAGATTTTAGTAGAGTGCTTGTTTCTTTGCATTGTCCCAGAAAGCTTTCTCTTTCTCTCTCTCGCCTGGATGTAGTCGTTGCATCACATTTGGGCCGGTTAGCCGGGCAGAGAGAGAAAACAAGCTTCGCTCAGCAAACACAGATTGCAGCAGGATGCAAGTTATTGGGTCGTAATGAGCGAGAGTGAAAGCGCATGTTAACGTGTGTGTGTGTGTGTGTGTGTGTGTGTGTGTGTGTGTGTGTGTGTGGGTGTGTGTGTGTGTGCTTTGAAGTTGCCCCTCCTGCTCCCCATCTTCTTCAAATCTAACAAATTTGGCGTCAAACGTTTGTGCTGCTCTGTGGATCAAAACCTTTCATTTGTGCCACTGTCACTTTAGAGACACTAATAAAGACGTTTCCAGGGGTCATCGGAGGTCATTGTCATTATCTGAAAAGCGAAAACAGTACAAACATAAGTTTTGCTTGCACAAATGTTTCACACCAATTTTGTTCAATTTGAAGACGGTGGCAAGGGCCCGACTGCGCTCCGGTCGGGCTTCGATCTCTGAAACAGAGCGTTTGCTCCGGGCCCAACGCCGCGGCGTGCGCTCGCATACGTTGCGCTCGCATACGTTGATGAAAGGAAGCGTCTACTGCCTGTGCTGCAGGATGTTTTTTACCCCCCGCAGCCCCTCACTTCTGCTTTTGTCGGCCGACTGGTGACAATGAGTGGAGGTGAGAGGGCAGCAGAAGCAAGGCAACACCATTCATCACACATGTCAAACAGTTAGAGCAGCTGCGTGGGACACGGTGAAAATTAGCATTTCATCCCTCGCTCCCTCCCTCTTGTCTGTCTCCAGCCCACATCTCTCTCTATTTTTCCATCATAGCTCTACATGTGATAAATGAGTCCTGAAGACGTGTAATTTTCCCAGCTGTTTGGATGAAAACATGCCGTTATCGACCAGCACTTCCCCTGTATTGCAGTTTGTGTGGCTGATTAAATGCAGCTGTTCTATCCCCCCCATTCCCTCCTCACCTCCTCATCCAATCATCATTCCCTTTGGACGGTGACGCTGTGAGGTAACGGGAGTGAGAACCTCAGGTTTGTCATGGCAACATGGACGATCTCTGTCTGTATTAGTGATGCACTGGACCGATAATCGATCTGAGGTCATCGATGTGACTCTCTGAGGAGTCTGTGATCAAATAGACCTGAATAATAGAGGAAATTATGAAACTTTCTTTTAGTTCACGGTAAAAGCACGATACCCAAAACTACCCGACTGTTTTGATTACTGCTGATATCGCAGTAAGACGACAACAGACTGGAAAAGATTAATGTACCGTTTCAGTAAGGAGATCACATGATATTCATTTGTGTGCAAAGCTGCACATTGGTTTCCAAAATCAAATGTCAGTTCCAACATAGTATGTCTAAAAATATTTTACAACTGTGCAAAAGTGAAATATTCATTCCTAATAATGAATTAATATTGATGAAAAAGTACTGCGTAGTTCCACTGGGAGAGTATTTCACTTATACAAGACATTTTTGTATAAAATGGAATAATATTGCAGTGGAACAGGTGTTTTTTTTAATCAATAATATTATTAGTGAGTTA